TGGTGCCAAGGGGCTGACTTATTTACACATTACATCTAATTTCTTCTTCAGCAATCCTGTTCGATGGATGGCTAGAGTATGGATTTTGCAGGATACTGAGTCTGGGATAGTTTAGATGTAGACATTAAGAACCTTAGTGTGTCTTTCCAGTTACCTGGATAACTCCCTGGAGCTGATCTATCTGTGTCAACCCCAAGGTTAAGAATGTAAGGGGAGGCCAGGCGCAGTGGCTCACGCCTGTAATCCCAGCACTTTGGGAAGCTGAGGCGGGCGGATCGATTGAGGTCAGGATTTTGAGACCAGCCTGGCCAACATGGTGAAACCTCATCGCTACTAAAAATACCAAAATTAGCTGAGCATGGTGGCACACACCTGTAATCCGAGCTACTAAGGAGGCTGAGGTAGGAGAATCGCTTGAACGCAGCAGGCAAATGTTGCAGTGAGCAAAGATTGTGACACTGCACACCAGCCTCAGTGTCAGGATGAGACTGTCTCAAAAAAAAAAAAAAAAAAAAGGCCAGGCACCATGGCTCATGCCTGTAATCCCAGCTCATTGGAGGCCAAGGCAGGTGGATCACCTGAGATCAAGAGTTCGAAACCAGCCTGGCCAACTGGTGAAACCCTGTATCTACTAAAAATACAAACAATTAGCTGGACATGGTGATGGATATCTGTAGTCCCATCCACTCGGGTGGCTGAGGCAGGAGAATTGCTTGAACCCAGGAGGTGGAGGTTGCAGTGAGCTGAGATGGCGCCACTGTGCTCTAGCCTGGGCAACAAGAGCGAAACAACGTCTCAAAAAAAAAAAAAAAGAGAATAAAAAGAATGTAAGCAGGGGGAAGGGAGTGGGAGGGATGAAGATAAATTGATCAATAGGTACAGATATATAGTTTGATAGAAGAAGTAAGACTTAGTAGATCAGTAGGGTGACTATAGCTTACAATAAGCTATTTTACATTTCAAAATAGCTATAAGAGAAGAATTCAAATGGTTCTAGCATAAAGAAAACACAAATATTTAAGGTGATGAATATTGCAGATATACTTACAAATTATATGAATGTATTATCACATGTACCCTGAAACTTGGTGCATCTATTATTCATCAATAAAACAAAAGTAATTATTTTTCTTTTATTTTTGAGACAGGGTCTCACTCTGTCACCCAGGCTGGAGTGCAGTGCCGCAATCTCAGCTCACTGCAACCTCCACCTCCTGGGTTCAAGCAATTCTCATGCTTCAGCCTCCTGAGTAGCTGGGACTACAGGCATGCACCACCATGCCCAGCTAATGTTTTGTATTTTTAGTAGAGACAGGGTTTAACCATGTTGGCCAGGCTGGTCTCGAACTCTTGGTCTTAAGTGATCCGCCCACCTTGGCCTCCCAAAGTGCTGGGATTACAGGTGTCAGCCACTGAGCCCAACCAACAATCTACTTTTTAAAAAAGCTGCCAAAAAAAAAAAAAAAAAAAAAGAAGGTAAGACAGCCAGGTGCAGAGGTGCATACCTATAGTTCCAGCTACTTGGGAGGTTGAGGTGAGAGGATCGCTTGAGCCCAGGACTTCCAGGCTATAGGGTGCTAAGAGTGCACCTGTGAATAGCCACTGCTCTACAGCCTGGGCAACATAGCAAGACTTCATCTCAAAAAAAAAAATATATATATATAATTATCCGGGTGCAGTGGCAGGCGCCTATAATCCCAGCTACTCGGGAGGCTGAGGCAGGAGAATCGCTTGAACCCAGGTGGCAGAGGTTGCAGTGAGCCGAGATCGAGCCACTGCACTCCAGCTTGGGCAATAGGTGAGACTCTGTCTCAAAAAAAAAAAAAAAAGTCAGGGGACATACATTGCTGGCCCTATAAGGCACCTCACAGTCAAGTTTTCTTTTCTTTTCAGCTTACAGCAAGATAGTGACTCTTGGCAAAGATGAGTTTCACCTACACCTGGTGGACACAGCAGGGCAGGTACCAGTTGGGGTATGGTATCCAAAAGTGGCAGTTCAGCCCTCAGAGATGAAGTCTGGTAGTCTTTGTGGCTCATCTGTAAAGTAGTATTAAAAGCATTTTACCTGTTAAGAGTATGCAGGGCTCATTGGAGCTGCTCCATAAATACTTGTTGAAGTGACTATAGTAGGGCGTGCCCCAGGGAGGGTCACCTGGATGTTGTCCCACCAACCTTTGCCATCTGAGTGGTTTGGATCTAGGTACTGATGTTTCCATTTCTTGACAGGATGAGTACAGCATTCTGCCCTATTCATTCATCATTGGAGTCCATGGTTATGTGCTTGTGTATTCTGTCACCTCTCTACATAGGTAAGTGACCAAGGTTGTGAGTGTGGGACTTGGGAAGACCTGAGGACTGTCTCATAAAGTTATAGCTCCAATTCTTGTGTTTAAAGCTTCCAAGTCATTGAGAGTCTGTACCAAAAGCTACACGAAGGCCATGGGAAAACCCGGTAAGTGGCCTTGGGGGATAGGGACATAGTGTGGGCATGAGGGAGTAGGAGAGAGCAGAGGGGAGAATTGTCAAGTTAGAGAGGCTCGGATATAGATCCTGCCTGGTCTGATAAGGAGTCGTCCAGCCTTGATATAAGGAGTTGGGGAATGAGAGGATTCTGAAATAACTGCTGTTTCCTCACAGGGTGCCAGTGGTTCTAGTTGGGAACAAGGCAGATCTCTCTCCAGAGAGGTATGTAAATCTCTGCTACTTAGAGGAAAAGGAAGTGAAATGGACTGGGAATCAGTCAGGCTCTCATCCTGGCTCTGCCACTGACTCAAACAAGTCATTTCACCTCTCTTTGTCTCTAACCTGAAGCTTAAGGAAGATAATACTTCTATCTTAAAAGCCACGATTTCATATTTCAAGCCTCAGTCCTAGATTCACCCATTGTTCCTTTGTTTACCTATATTTTCTCCTTCCACAGCCCTCCTCCCAAAACTTGGGGAAATGGCGTGGGTCAGAGGAAGTCTTTTTCTTCCTTCTTTTTTTTTGAGATGAAGTCTTGTTCTGTTGCCCAGACTAGAGTGCAGTGGCGTGATCTCGGCTCACTGCAACCTCTGCCACCTGGGTTCAAGCGATTCTCCTGCCTCAGCTTCCCGAGTAGCTGGGACTACAGGCGCATGCCACCACGCCCGGCTAATTTTTTGTATTTTTAGTAGAGACGGGGTTTCACTATGTTAGCCAGGATGGTCTTGATCTCCTGACCTTGTGATCCACCCGCCTAGGCCTCCCAAAGTGTTGGGATTACAGGCATGAGCCACCGCGCACAGCCCATTTTCTTTTTAATAGAGATGGTATTTCACTGTGTTGCCAAGGCTGGTCTTGAACTCCTGAGCTCAAGTGATCCACCACCTCGGCCTCCCAAAGTGCTGCATTACAGGCATGAGCCACTAAGCCTGGCCAGGAAACCTTGATTCTGAAGATTTTTCAGAGCACTTACCAACATTTCTATCCTCCATCTTTATGTCCCAAATTTGCTTCCAGAGAGGTACAGGCAGTTGAAGGGAAGAAGCTGGCAGAGTCCTGGGGTGCGACATTTATGGAGTCATCTGCTCGAGAGAATCAGGTGCTCAGCCCGAAGACTAGAAGGGTGGTGGTGGTAGCCGTGTTTTCCTTATTGTACTGCTTGGTGGGAATGTTGCAGGAATGGAGCTTTCACCCCAGAGCTGGGTGGTATTGGCACTGAACTGACTTTTGCCCTGAATCCTCTCCCCTTATAGCTGACTCAAGGCATCTTCACCAAAGTCATCCAGGAGATTGCCCGTGTGGAGAATTCCTATGGGCAAGAGCGTCGCTGCCATCTCATGTGAGCCCTTGGGTGTGGTGTAACTGCCTTGTTTCTGCCTCTGGCACTTGCCATGTTCCAGTGGGGGGTCAGACCCTCAGGACTTCACGGGTATGGTTGCCAGCTGTGTTCCTGACCCCTGGACACACAGTGTGGCATCCTCATGTTTGCACACTTTCCCCAGGCTCTAGTGGCCTGGATGTCAATGTTTACAAAGGGGCAAGGACCTCTCATGGACACTGGCCTCTAGCCCTCTGTTTTTGCTAGATGAATTCTGTTATAACCTGTGGGGTCAGGATATGAGTCCTGGGCATTATTTATCCAGGACCCATCCTCTTGGGTGAGTTTTGGGTGTTGGCTGGGTAAGGGGAGCCAGGGACTTCTGAAATAGAGCTGGCTCCCTGGGGTGACAATGTATATATGCAAATAAACTGAGAAATCTTTTGTTGTTGACTTATTTTTCCTGTGTGTGTGTGAGACGGAGTTTCACTCTGTTGCCCAGGCTGGAGCGGTACAGTGCTGCGATCTCAGCTTGCTGCAACCTCCGCCTGCCAGGTTCAAGCAGTTCTCCTGCCTCAGTCTCCCACAGGCACCCGCCACCACGCCTGGCTATTTTTAGTAGAGATGGGGTTTCACCATGTTGGCCAGGATGGTCTCGAACTCCTGACCTTAAGTGATCCGTCCGCCTCAGCCTCCCAAAGTGCTGGGATTATAGGCGTGAACCACTACTCCCGGCCTTATTGTTGACATCTGTGTATCTAGGGAGAGCTCAGAGCCAGTATCTCTTTTTCCAAGGAGTCATGGCTGTGGTCTTTGGTGGGAAATCTTTCCTCCTACCTTGTTCCTATTCCTTATTCCTCACTTATTAACGACCATTATCCTAACTTGCCTTTCCTACCTTTCTATTCTGCTGGGTTCCTCATATACTGAGTCCAGTTGGCTGCCACTCCCGTCCAAGTTTTGTAGCCTTTCAAGATCCCCTTAATTACAGAAACACCACCCTCTAGTGGCCAGATGCAACATGCTGACCTAGCTGTCTTCCTGGGGCCTCAGCATTTGCTTGGACTCAAAGCATACAGGGTTTCGGGAGAAGGAAGCCCCTCATTCCTAATGATGTAAGAATTGAGAGAAGTGTAGAGGCAGAGAGACTAAAGTGTTGTGAAGACTTTGACTTCCCAAGAGTGTTGAGTAAAGTAAGAAATAATGCATCTGGTGCCTATCAGTCCCCCCGGCCCTCCATGTCCCCAGTGTCTTTCATTAAAATGGCTGTCCTTTGCTCGTTTCATACCTTTAATCTTTTTGTACTTTTCACACCTTTGGTGGTCTACTTTTTTCAGGTGTCAAAGGCTATTGGTTCTGCTTTTATGGACCTACCACCTCAGTAGGATTGATATTTCAGCTAGGAAAGTTTGGTCCTGTTTGCCTCCGCTTTTCTTGATCCCCACCCTGCCACCAGCATGATTGCCTAACTAGTCTAATACCTCCTCCAAGGACGTGTAAGGGTTACTTTAATGGTAGATCTTCACAGGGAAGGTACAGACCTCTTCTGACAACTGGGGGAGCCCGAGGTACCTGTCAATGTACTTACTTGGGAAGGATTGACAGAACCTAGATGTGATTTTTAGCTGTGACTTTGTCAGTGCCTGGCTCCAGGCTTACAGTGGGGATATGGCTTGTCATGCTGATTTTCAAAAGTCCTGACAGCTGCTTTTGCTTTTCTGATCCAGAATCTAAAAAGAAGTAAGGGCTGCTAGAAGAAACATACTCCAAACAACAATCTCACTGGCTTAGGAGGTTCTGGGAGGTCCCTAACCTCTCTCCTTATACTAAAATTAAGTCCTTTTGCACATCTGACCTGGGATACTCATTACAGGGGCTTACTTTCCTGCTGCCATTTTCACGAGGTCTGGGGTAGACTTAGAAACATGTGAAGTTTTCTAGTTTATCAATAATCTCAAGGCGTGGGGACAGTAGTGATAGCGGTTAATAGCTCCTCCACTTAGCTGTGTGGCCTTGGGCAGTCACTTAACCTCTCAGCGCCTCCATTTCTCATTTATGAAGAGTGGCTAAGTGTGCTTCATAGAGTTGAGGTGAAAATTAAATGAGGTAATAAATGCAAAGCTTACTACAGTTCTTCACACATAATAAGTCCTTAAGAAATAGTGGGTGGCAGCCGGGCGCGCCTGTAATCCCAGCACTTTGGGAGACCAAGGTGGATGGATAACCTGAAGTCAGGAGTTTGAGACCAGCCTGGCCAACGTGGTGAAACCCCATCTCTACTAAAAATAAATTAGCTGGGTGTGATGGTGGGCTCCTGTAATCCCAGTTACTAGGGAGGCTGAGGCAGGATAATCGCTTGAACCTGGGAGGCGGAGGTTGCAGTGAGCTAAGATCACGCCATTTCACTCCAGCGTGGGAGACAAGAGCGAAACTCTGTCTCAAAAAAAAGAAAAAAAAAAAAAAACCCCGAAATAGTGGGTGGCTATCTGTGTTATTACTGGGTTTTTCTGGTGAGGGTCTGCCTCTCCCTGCCTCTGGGTGCAAACCTGGGAGGGGTCTTCCATTTTCCAACTTGTTTCTTGGTTAACTTATTCTATTGTAACCAAAAGAGGTGTGCGATCACTGCTGGAGCTTTTTTGCTTAAATATGTGTGAATGGTCAGTGCAGAAAGCATGATGCCAATGTGTGGCTGGAGTAGGACAAATCTAGTCCTGATCCCTCCTATGACTCTGACCAGTAGGGATTAAGGTCTCCTGCACTGTCGAATATAAAAGCATCAAGTCACATGTGGCTATTTAATTTCATTAAAATAAAAAGTTCCTTACTTGTACCACCTGCATTTCGAAGTGCTCGAGAGCTCATGTGGTTAATGGCTACCATATTAGATAGTGTAGATTTAATCCATTTCTCTCACTGTAGAAAAGTTCTGTTGGGGCCGGGCGCGGTGGCTCATGCCTGTAATCCCAGCACTTTGGGAGACCAGGGCGAGCGGATCACGAGTTCAAGACCAGGCTGGCCAACATAGTGAAACCCTGTCTCTACTAAAAATACAAAAAAGTAGCCGGGTCTGGTGGTGTGCGCCTGTAATCTCAGCTACTAGGGAGGCTGAGGCAGGAGAATCGCCTGAACCCGGGAGGCAGAGGTTGCAGTGAGCCGAGATTGCACCATTGCACTCCAACCCGGACGACAGTGCAAGACTCGGTCTCAAGAAAAAAAAAAATTCTGTTGGATAGCACCGTAAACCCTTTCCCCACAAAGCTGGCATTGGATCGAATCGGCCTGCCTCTTTCTCCACATCTTCCTTTAAAAAACTGTAGTATTACTTGTAATCCTAGGAAAAACGTGGCCTTTGGTTTGAATAATGGCTCAACTTCTGACTAGATGTATTTCTGTGGGCAATCTTACCTATTGTAGCCTTAATCTTCATCTGTCATATGGAGATAATTCCATGTAACTCATAATGAAGGTGAGGAATAACTAAGAATATAGAAAGTATCTGGACATAGTTAATTTGTCTCCTTTTGTCCACCCCATATGTGCAGTTGATGCAGAAGAGGCATTCCAATCCTTTCTCATCCAGACTTATGGTGGGGGGGTGGTGCCTGCAAAGAGTATGTTTTGCGATCTTGTCTAGAACAGTACTCCGGCCAGGTAGCAGCGAGGCTACTTCAGTTTACTAAAAAAGGGACAGGGGTATTGAATATCTGAAAGGACTGGAGGTGGGAATGGGAGCACCCTGAAAAGGAAGGGAGGCTCTACATTTGTTTCGATGGGGAGGTGTGTGTAGTGACTGTGTGGGCACCGACAGTCCTTCCTCACACGGGGGACTGGGAGCCAGGAGGAACGACTAGGGACTAGTCCAGTTTTCTTCGGGTCCCTAAACGTGGCAAGAACCCACCCTCTGCAGCGCCAGGCGCCGTACCTCACTTTCTCCATTTGCGGACTCCAGTTCCCAGGATGCTAAGCAGCGGCCAATCTCCTGGCTCTTCTTCCATCCCCCTCCCGGGAAAGACTGCCCCTGGCCAAAGCGAGGGGGCAGTTGGAGTTTCAGGGACCAATGACTGCAAGGGTATGGAATTAAAAAGCAGCCGGAGTCCTAGTTTCGCGGCCTGGGCGGTAAATGAAGAGGCTCCAGGGCCGCGGCAGACAGGAGGTGGGCTTCGTTCCCACGTGTCTGCCCGGCTGCCGGCCCGGCGCGGTTGGGGTTAACCAGGAGCGGAAGGATCCCGCAGCGTGTGCGTAGAACTGCAGAGTCACAGCCTTTCCTCCGAGAGGGCGGGATCCCTCCGCCGCTCCGCTCCAACACAAAATAGGGCCGCCTCTTCTCCTTTCTCCCCCTCTCGAGTGGGGTGCCCCGGGCAAAAGGCCCCCCCGGATCTCGCGCCGAAGGCTTCACGAATCTTCACGACCGCTGCCCAGCTCTCGGGCCAGGAAATAGCCCCTTCGCAGGAACCACCCTACCGGCCGAACAGGAGGCGGAGGGGGGGAGGCGGAGCGGCGCCGCGCTGCACTACTTTCCTCTCCGGTTGCAAATGGCTGCCTCGTTCCCCACTTTCCGCTCAGTTTCCTGACCCCCCGGTGCCGGGAGCCGGGGTTGGGCCATGCACCTCTAGGCCCCCTGCGATCACAGTCAGCCGGGGGTCGAGGGGGTGCCACCGACCAAAGCCGGCCAGG